TTAATGAGTCCAAGTCTCCAGCAGGACTCAAAATAGCAAAGCAGTAAAGTCAGAAGTGTTTATAGAAAGAAATTGCATTAAAACTGTTAGCATTGTGGTATCTTGGAAGTGACAGCTGCTGATATATCCACAAGCTGTCCCAATCTCAACCCTCCTTGCTGCTGTACACCCGTGGCTGATGTGCATACTTATACCCTTATTCCACACCAGTAGATCATTAAAACCCTTTCCTGTCACCTGCCTCCTGTACCAGCTGATCCGTAGGGTTTTGCAACCAGAGAATCACAAAACAGAATTTCAAAGCCATCCCAAGGAAAAGCCTCTTGGCTACAGTCCTGGGATTTCTTATTTATTTATGTGTTATTCCTTGCTCTTTGAACATATCTGAAGTTATTCCTCATTTTCTCAATACATAAGCCTTCCCTCAGACAAATGCACCAAGTAGGACCAGTCAGGGGTGCAGATCTGGTGCTGAGGGGACGTGATTTATGCTCCATGCAAATCCATTTTGGCAGCACATGAGCCTTCCTTTCATCCAAATGGCTTAAACTGGCCTCAGCACGGCTGCACCGTCCTGGAAAGAAACCCAAAAGGGTGTAGTCAGAGAGTGATATCTGAGACAGCTGTGCCTGGTTTTTAACTTCACTGGAGTAATTTTGAATGCAAAACCTCACAGGAATGTTATTTTCCAGCACCTAACGCAGCGCTGTGACATCCTCGAAGCCACGTCAAGGGGCAGAACAAGCGTCAACCTGGCAGAGCGACCAGCATACCCCGAAGGTGATGTTCCTCAGTCACTCTTGCAATTACGGCAGATTAGCAGTGATTTGCAGCCAGGTTGGCACCCAGGGCCACAGGGCAGGAGAGGAACCCGAAGGCTGGACTGCACAAACCCTTGGGGAAGGGTGAGGATGCGGTCACTTGGGTGAGTATCAAACTCTGAAAGTGGCTCCTGACCTACAGCAGCGTAAAGGAGAGCAATGAAATACACAATTCACCTGTAGAAAATATCCAGAGCAGTTTTGGTGAGAGAAGACACCAGTTATGGTTGCAGCACTGATTTTGTTGTGGTTTTTTTTTTAATATACACCACAGGACCAATGTGTGTCCTTTGAGACCATCCTCTTCTCTTAGCACCTGTTCTCGTTATTCTCTGTTGCATCCTGGGCAAGAAGAGGTACTGGGTGCCCACCACTGCTCCAGTGAGGCTGTACTGGAAGAGGCACACATTAGCCCCCTGGACTGTAAAATATGTCCGGAAGGTTTGGGAATACGATTCCAATGGCAACTGTAGAGATGCCTAACGATACAGATCAGCTGCTTGCCTTGGCACGTTGCACAGGAGAGGTTTCCATCAGCTCCACTTAAGGAAAATCATCCTCTCCTGTTCCTCCTCCTGTTACCAACACTGCTGATGGTTCAGCTTAGATTTTAAGTTTGCACTTTTGCCCCTTGAGGTGTATGGTATCAGTCGAGCGCTTCACTAAGGTCTTCACCTTTCATAGCTCTCCTTCAGGTCGTCTTCTGTGCTAGCCAGAAACTTACCCCATATGCCACAGGCACTGATTCTAGACAGGGATGACGGAAGCTATGCCTGTCTGGTATCAAAAGATATGACCACACAGCTAATTTTCAATAGGATTAACCACAAATAGGAGGAAAAAAAATGAACTAAAGCAAAAAATTGTTTTAGGATGGTCACAGATGAAGAAAATTCCAGCTGCTAAGGTTACCCAAAGGTGAATGTTGACACAAGCCCACAGGTTCTTAGCAAGGAGATGTCCAGCAGACAAGATGTAATAAGACTGTCTCAGGGGAGCCGACTCATTAAAGATTGTAGAGTTCAACCTTATCTATGGCAGCACATTGCCTCCCAGCTATGAATGTTCAAGTGTTTATAAAAACCTGAGCAGGTATCCGCAAAAAATTTATTGCAAATTATTGTGGGGGAAAAGTTGCTAATGATTGCTTTGGTTGAGGAAATAGCTGAGAACTGTGTTGGCAAAACTACTGAGCCCTGAGGAAAAGGGACCATTCTAGCTATAAAGTCCCTTTTCATTCTAGGCTAATGATAATCCAAGAACATTAGTATTCCACACATTAGTAGTTAAAGCTGGGTCAATTTAGACCAGAAAAACTGTTTGGGTATAACAATAATTAACTATTAAAGCCAAGCAGGTCACTTGTCCATCCCTGGAGCACTCTGCTGAGATCTCTCAGGAATGTGGTATGTCGGGAAGGTGGCAGAAAGCAAACTCAGGTCTACTGATGTACTTGGGTGGAGATGCAAGACCACTTTCTTTCCTTCAGCAGAGCAAGCCAGGAGGAATTTTCCTAAAGGAAGTGCAGGCATACAACATAAAGTAGAGAAAAAAATATAAATCCAGGCAGTCTGTCTCTTCTGGACAGAAATTTAACTGATAATTGTATTCTGCTGCAATAAACTAACCAACCAGATGTTTCAGATAATTAGTATTAGAGTCAAACTTTTCTAGCAGCTGTTTTCCTTGTGACAGACAAGCAATATATCTGCTCCCTCAGTCTGGACAAACTCTTCCAATGGGATGTCCAAGACACGATCAAGAGATGTGATGCCATTATATACATATTCAAGAGCTTTAAAGCATCTTGAATATTGGTAACTGCGGTGGCATGTGCAGAAGTTTGGTTGCGTCTCCTGATACCCACATGGTGAGCTATATGAGTTTTCAGAGCTTTGCTGCCTTCAGCACCTAACCCAGAGCAGGCAAGGGCTGACTGGAAGGACTAGCATGCCCCCAAAATGATGATTTCTTCAGGGAATTGTAAGACTTTCCCTGCCATAATTCTACATGCTCAAGTGTTTTAAGAGACACCCCTCTATTTTCACTTATTGAAAAGTCGGTTAGATTGTCCATCCTGTTTATAACACACCAATAGCATCCATCTGGAGCAAAGCATCTGTCTAGCCACGCTAATTGAATTAGTCTTAGAATCCACCCATCTAGAGACAGAGACCTTTCTAGCTTTCTAACTTCAGAATTCTTATAGCAGAGGCCCCTAAATAAACACGTTAGGAAGGAGATGAGCACTTTTGTAGTCTAATGAGATTTCAAGAAAATTAGCTTTTTATTTTGTTTTGGTGGAAGAACCAGTTTTCCCTGGATAGAAAACAAATATCTTATGAACCGGCAGAACCCTGTACAGATGAGCCAGTTTTTCATGATCTCATGCAAAAACCTTGGCATTTGAGGCCTCTGGTAGCTTCTAACGTGCATCTTGTGAGGCACACAATGTCTGAAGGCCTGATATGTGTCTCATTAAAATTGAGACGACTCAGCTGCAAGCAGCAGACTGTTCTCCCCACTAATTGTTTGATAATGCTGCCTCAGGCCATCAGTGTTGCAGACCGTGTCCCTGGGGTAGGACAGGTGACTATTGACACCTGTTGAAATGGCCCAGACCTGCTGGAAAAGCTGTGGGGAGCCAAAGTTCAGCATGGGAAGGAGATGTTGGCAGCCGATGAGCAAAGGGCAACAGCTGAGTGTGCCAGGTCTCTCACATCTCCTTCCGGCAACGTGCATCAGCTGGGCTTGGTGAGGACTCATCAACCTGGGTGGAGACTCTGCTCAAGAGTGATTTGCAGCATCGCATTTGTTAAAGGTACTCATGTAAAAGAAGGCCAAAATAAAAAAAAACCAAACAAACAAACAAACCCAAACAGTGATGATGTTTTGGGAGAAGAAAGTCAAAAAGGGTGCTGGGAGAAAAAGGGGCTCATTTAAAATGTTGGTTCTCTTGACAGCCTGGTGTGACTTGTGCCTTGGAAAATTACAGTGTTCTTAAGTTCCATTTTCAAAGGCGTCTTCCTTTGAGTAGTTTGACTCCTTCCTTTGAGGAATTTTGAAGCCGCTTTTGAGAATGAAATTTACAACCCAAATCACGCCTGTTGTTATTTTTGACCCAAATCACGCCTGTTGTTATTTTTGAAATAAACGTAACCTCTGTCTCCACAGAAAACTGTTCCTCTCAAAGGCCACAGACATCCCGGTACTACATGGATCACACAGCTGAACTTCCACTCAACTTGGAAGTTTAATAACCGGGAGGAAGGCGGCAGCCCCCGGTGTGGACCCAGAAATGAACCGGGGGAGCGCGCCCGAGGAGAGCAGCAGATCAGGTTTTGCTGTTACGCCAGGAAGGAACGTGAGCTGTAATAGTAGAAGTGACGATTGGGGGGTTTTTTAAAGAAGATATCTCTTGAAATTAGAACTTGAGGTGGGGGTGACAGCAGGGTCGGAAGGGCACGTGGCTTGGGGACACGAAGCGCGACCCCGAGAGCCAACCCTTGCCCCCCGGCACCTATTTTATTTGAATATGCGATTTTTTGGCATGGCCTTTGCTCCCCGCAAAGGGGTGTTTGCAGGAGTGTGAGATCGGGGCATCCAGCCCGGGGGATGATGCCAGGAAAGGGATAGTGTGGGGGGGGGGCAGGCTGATTTGGGGACCACTCTCCCAGCGTGACAAACTTCCAGCCCGGTGCGGGGAAGGGAGAGAAGCCCGACAGCGCAGCCGGCTCCCGCACCGGGCCCGGTGGTGCGTGTGTGTGTTTTTGGGGTGTGTGTGGGGGGTGTTGCGGTTCTTACCCCCTCCCACGGCCATAGGAGCCGCCCGCGCGTATCCCGGGACGGGGCCGCCCTCCGCGGAGCCTCCGCCGCCGCCAACCCCGCGCTTTCCCCCGCCCCTCGGCGGCGGGGGCGCGGATCCGGCCTGCGCGGGGCCGGCGGAGAGAGGGAGCGCGGCAGGGCGAGGGGAGGAGAGACGGCAGGAGGAGGAGAAGGAGGAGGAGGAGGAGGAGGCGAGCTGGCCATGGCAGCAGCCCGCGGGCGGAGAGGCAGCCGCCGCGGGCTGCCGCTGTGATTGGCACCCCCAGGAGGAGGAGGAGGAGAAGGACGAAGAGGAAGGCGCGGAGCAGCCGCGGGGCCCGCCATCCCGCGGCGGTGGCGGCGGTGCCCGGGAGGATGCCGGGGAAGCGGGGATCGGCGGGCGGCGGTGGCGGCGGCGGGGAGCTCCCGGGGGCCGGAGCGCCGCGGCAGCGGAGACGGCGGAGGAAGGTCTCCTGCTTCTCCAGCATCCAGCTCTTCCTGGTGTCCGAGTGCGCCCTGATGCTGGCCCAGGGCACGGTGGGAGCCTACCTGGTGAGTGGGGGCCGGCCGGTGGAACCCCCATCCCCATCCCCCGGGGTACCTGCCGGGCCGGGGGGCGCGGAGCGGGGCGGTGGATGCGCCGGCACAAGTGGAGGGGAAGTTTACCTGGCCGCCGGGGGCAGCCCCCCAACCTCCCCGGGGGGGTTTGACACCAACCCCGGCGTTTCACGGCTTAAATGACTCAGCAGCGCCGAGGGGTGTGTGTGTGTATTTATTACTTTTATTACTTTTATTATTTTTATTATTTTTATTATTATTTTTTTTAACCCTTCTGCCCGTCTCTCGCCCCTCCGCGGCGACAACTCCCGCGGCCGGTCCCCGGTGCCGGCGGGATGGCTGCTAGTTTCCCAGCCTGGCCACTGCCGCGGGGGGGTCAAATGCCAGCCTTTTTCCAGCTGAGCCCGAATAAACAGCAAGAAGATCTGGTGGGGCATTTACTTCGTGCCTCCCGCCTTACTAATTTTTGCCTCCTCCTCCTCTTGGAGTGATGCAGCGGCGCTGGGCGCAGCAGTGTCCCCCCGTCCCCCCCCCCCAAGTCTTGGCGATAGGTAGAGAACGGGCAAAAAATCAGACTTTGCACTGAATCTGCATAGTGAGATGTGGTGTCAGCAGCAGAAGTGGAGTAGAAGAGTTGGAAGGATGTCCATACGGCGCTGCTTGTGCCTTTGAGTGTGCACCCAGAGAGGCAGCCTGTGGAAAATGAAGTGTTCTTCTTCCAGCAGCTGTAAGTGTAGAGTTGATTTAAATTTCTCAAAATAGCTTGCTGGATTTGAGAATTATAGTTTCCATGGAAAAGAAATGTATTCATAATCTCTGAGGCTTTTTTTGAGGCCGTACACGTAATGTGCTATACAGTAAGTGTAAGATCTCTGCATTCTGTACTTGTGTTCAGTATTTAGCTGCTCCTCTCTCACATGCTCAAACTACTTATGCAAATTTGTACTGAACATGCTGTATAATTTTTCAAGGTATGTGGCTAAACAAACCATTGTTAATATTCTTGATTAATATGAAATGGAAATTATCAGTCATCTCCATATAATAAACCGCGTAAGTTTAGTTTTGGAGCCTATTTGTAATTCCAAAGGAAACTACATCACATCTGGTGAGATAAATGCAGTAATTCTATATGCTGTGTGAGTATAAGTGGATATCACTTCATTTGTAGGAGCCAGACAGGGACATGCCTCTTTTATGCGAGTAACACCTTAGTAAGTAAATATATTGTTTCCGATGAGCTGCTCGTAAAACGAGCTGCCAGCATGAATGAGAGTGGGATAATCCCTCATCACGGTCGTGGCCAAGGAAGAGCCCACTGAGGTGATGTCACCCAGTGGGCACCAGTATGCTGGAAAGGTGCAGACCTGTTAAAGGAGATATATATATATATATACACATACTGTATCTTGGCACACAGCTAGTCTCTGAGCATATAGGCTCAGCAGGAGTAGCCCCTAGCACGGCATTTTCCACAGACTCCTTTGCGTTGCTCTCCCCTCACCAGTTTAGCTGTTCTTCTCCTGTTTTCCCCAACTCTTGGGGTGTGCTGAGCCCCACGCTCTCTCCCTCTCACTCCCCCCTGTCCCCGCCGGTGTGAAAACCCCGCAGTCCCTCCTCCCAGGGGGTTAACTCGGAGGAGGTCCTGCCATCCCTACCCTCTGCCATTCTCCAGGACTGTCCCCTGACCAGCGTGACATCATGCCCCCACCAGCCAGATCCACAAACAGTAACAAGACAACTGGTCAGTAGCTGGGGGAGTAGAGGGGGGGGGAAGAAAACTAAACTCAAAGCAATCCCCAGCATGCATAAGCAGTGGCCCAGCTGCACTGGGCAAGTGTTCCTCCCTCCCCTGGATAATTTATCTTCCCTCGCTGCGAATACCACCCCGCTCTTCCTACAGTGAGCAGATGCAAAGTCTTTGGAGGGTAAATCTGTGTTTTTAAAGGGGGATCTGGAGGAGCGCCCCGTTTACAGGTGTCGTGGGGGAGCAGGAGCGGTGCCTGGGGGAAGATGCACGGGACTTAAATCATTTTTGCAGACCGGGGTGTCCCCTGGGCCCCGGTGCTGTTCTCAGGTGCCATCTCCCGGGGGTGACAGGAGCGGAGGCACTGCAGAGTTGCCCAGGTGGAACTGCAAGTGGATATTCATTTTACTGGGGCTCCTGGGACGAGCTGGGCTCGGCGGTGGCGTGTGGGGCTGCTCCCCGAGGGACAAATTAGCAGGCGAGACAAAGCGGAGAGCAAACAGAAAGACAGACAAATAGGGAGATGCTGCGGAGGGAGGACAGACCCGGCGTGTAGTTCTGGGCAGTTGGGTAAACTGCTAATTTTAGCCTGCCAGCAGCGAGCGAGTACTGTATTCATACTTCTGCTTTGCTTGGCCACATGTGTGACTTTCCCTGGTTATTTGTAACTCAGGAAGAGAAACCTTTTTTTTCGCCTTATACGGCGACAAGTTGGTTTCCTCGGTTTTTGGCTGCCGTGCTCTGCACGGGGAGACCACGAGGGCAAAAACTCAGCTCGTTAAGAAAACAAGGCAGGGGCTTGGCCTCTTAGGGGTGATTGAAGAGCTCAGTTTTGATTGGGCTTGGCTTTCATGTCGGTACATTTAGAAGTGGATATTGTTATTTCTTTTTAGAGATGTAAAACCTTCTTTTTTTTTTTCTCCATGTTCTCTGCATAATAAACTAGCAGCGCCCACTTGAATGTATGTACAAAGTAGACATTCATTCATTATGTGGTTCTGAGGCAAAGATCATTCACTTTTATTTGTTCATAAAACATTGTGCTTGCCAACAGGGCTTTATAAATAATAAATGCTGATAAAAATCTATAAAGTCCAATTGTTTTCCCACAGAACTCAGCAGTGAAAATACCCCAGGATGCCAACAGTGGATGTCTATGGTTAATTAGGACGGTGTCGCTGGGGTTCTTCACATGAAGTTTTAGGGAGTGTTTGATCAATGTCACGTTCCAAAATATTTGTCAATTACAGCCCTTGCTGTTTGCAGAACGCACATGTTCCAAACTGACTCGGTGCCATACCCCGCATAGTTTATGCAAATACAAGCCTGTGCCGCTGCCTTAATTTCTGGGGCTGCTGAATACACCCTGTTATTTGCATATTCTTGTAAGGTTTTGTGTATGCATTTATTTGGCTTCGTCTAATTACTCCTGCCTGCTTTTTTGGAAACTCCAATTTCCCAGCGCCTGCAGTGGCAGCGGGGAGGGAGAAGGCTGCCTGCCCGGCTGCAGCCGCCCGTTCCTGCTGCAGAAGTTACTCCAGGGTTTTTTGCAGCAACTTGGAAAAGCCCAGCTGATTTCCACCCCCGGCGAGATTTCCATCTCCTGCAGCGTGGCTCTGCGAATTAAAGAGCCCAGCGTTCCTGGTGCGGATGGTACCGGCAGGGAAAAGCTGGAATCTCCTTTTTTTTTTTTTTTTTTTTCCCCCAGCTGGAGCCTTGTGCCTTTGGGGCGAATGCAGCAGTGTGATCAGTCAGGATGAGGATTTCGATAAGGCTGATTCACATACCTTGGCAACGCTTCCCTCCCTGTCTCCCTCCCCACCCCGGATTCCGACGTGGGTTATATTTTGGAATATTTTAACTGGTAATAACCTCCCGAGTGCTCCTGACGGTGTAGCGCCGAGGCGTTTCATCACCCTGCCGGGCAAATCTTTTTGCCTGGCCGGTGGGGAAATCAACCCCTTTAGCAGAAGGCGAAGAGCTTTGGGGTTCGACGGCCACAGTTTGTGGAGATGGAGCACAATTTAATTTTCTCTCCCTAGCCTTTAGCCCCGGCTCGCTCCGGTTCAAACTGACCTAGTTGCGAGCATCCGACATCTGCCAAAGTCACGGGCTTCTTTAGATAAAGGGCATGCATATGGGAAGCGGTTCCGTGGTGTGCTCGGGGTGGCTTGTTTTCACAGAGCTTTACTGAGATGCCTCTGTTTTGCTGCAGCTTTGAATGCAGCGATTCACGTGCTTTATCAAGTGATAGAGGATGACCGGCCCCGACGTGAGATGGGAAAGGAAAATAATTGGTCCCTCCCAAGGCGGGCGCGTTGGGGTTTGCGTGGGAATGAATGCCAAATTGTTTCTTGTTTTGCTGAATGAAAACTTTTGAGCCACGCTGAACTTCCCGACTAGAGCCCTGCCTGTGCAGCAGTGTTTGAACTGCAGCCTGCAAAAGCCCTCTTAATGTGTCTGCAGTAAAAATGTGAGTCCAGGTGAGATGGTGTGTGCGCGTGTGGCCTCTGAGACAGGCTCCTTCTGTTCTGTTCTATTGCTACCGGAGTTTGGGGTATTAAAGTAAACCTTAAAATTCCATATTCGGGGAAAAAATAAGTATCAAAGATAAATACAGAAGTTAAACATCAAAGGTTCCCTCTGGAAAAGAGACAAATAAGGGTCCTATGAGATGGACATCAGGGAATTGAGGGATTAAGAGCAGAATTCGGCTCTTGGATTTTTAAGTTGCTTTGGAGCGCAACCTCTTCTCCTCCCGTGTTAAACGAAGCAAAGAGAATACTGTTTTGCTGTGACAGTACAGAAAGCAGTTGTCTCTCCTGTCCCAGAGACCTGGTCCAACCCTCCTTGAAGTCAGCAGAGAGTTCTGCAGGGCGGATGTTATTAAAGCCAATTTAATACAGCAGGGCAGTGGTTCAAAGCCCTCCGTTGTGCTTGGTGCCGCATGACAGCGTTTGCCCCTGAGCCTCTGTAGTGTGAATAGACCGGGTGGGAGAAGTGCTGCAGGTGGGGAAACTGAGGCAGAGATTAAGAGCCTGATGCTGTTGCTGAGGCCATTGATAAAGCTTTTGCTTGGTTAACAGCGTCACAACCCGAGTAGCTTAGGCCTGGGCAAAGGAAGAGTCTGGCAGAGCAAGGAATCCCAGTTTCAGGTGCTTCAGTCCAGTGACTTAACTGCAAGAGCAGTTTTTCCCCACTGAATTTATTATTGTTTTTATTAAAGTATTTATTTTCCTAGAATAAG